ATCATACTTGTTTGTGCATCATGCCATGTTATGTGATGGTTGTTTACTATGTTGTTTGCTTCTTTCCGGGTTGTTTCCCTCGTTAGCTTTGGTTCCGTTCTAGAGTTGTGAGGATCCGTTCGACTACGTCAATTTGTCTTCTTCATGGACTCGTTCTTCTTCCTTGCGGGATCTCAGGCAAGATGACCATACCCTTGAAATCACTTCTATCTTTGCTTGCTAGTTGCTCGCTCTTTTGCTATGCCTATGTTGCGATACCTACCACTTGCTTATCATGCCTCCTATATTGTTGAACCAAGCCTCTAACCCACCTTGTCCTAGCAAACCTTTGTTTGGCTATGTTACCGCTTTGCTCAGCCCCTCTTATAGCGTTATTAGTTGCAGGTGAAGATTGAAGTTTGTTCCTTGTTGGAACATATTTACTTGTTGGGATATCACAATATCTCTTATCTAATTAATGCATCTATATACTTGGTAAAGGGTGGAAGGCTCGGCCTTATGCCTGGTGTTTTGTTCCACTCTTGCCGCCCTAGTTTCCGTCATATCGGTGTTATGTTCCCGGATTTTGCGTTCCTTGCGCGGTTGGGTTATAATGGGAACCCCTTGACAGTTCGCTTTGAATAAAACTCCTCTAGCAAGGCCCAACATTGGTTTTACCATTTGCCACCTAGCCTTTTCTTTCCCTTGGGTAGGCCTGCCCAAGGGTCATCTTTATTTAAACCCCTGGGCCAGTGCTCCTCTGAGTGTTGGTCCAACCTGTCAACTGCCGGTGGCCACCAAGGGCAACTCTGGGCTGGCCTACCGGAACCTTGGACAATCCAGTGTGCCCTGAGACAGAGATATGTGCAGTTTCTATCGGGATTTGTCGGCACATTCGGGTGGCTTTGCTGGTCTTGTTTTACCATTGTCAAAATGTCCTGTAACCGGGATTCCGAGTCTGATCGGGTCTTCCCGCTAGAAGGAATATCCTTCGTTGACCGTGAGAGCTTGTGATGGGCTAAGTTGGGACACCCCTGCAGGGTTTTGAACTTTCGAAAGTCGTGCCCGCGGTTATGGGCAGATGGTAATTTGTTAATGTCCTGTTGTAGAAAACCTGAAGTTGACCTTAATTAAAATACACCAACCGCGTGTGTAACCGTGATGGTCTCTTCTCGGCGGAATCCGGAAAGTGAACATGGTGTTGGAGTTATGCTTGACGTAGGTTGTTCTAGGATCACTTCTTGATCATAGTTGTTCGACCGTGCTTTTGCCTTCTCTTCTCGCTCTCATTTGCGTATGTTAGCCACCATATATGTTAGTCGCTTGCTGCAGCTCCACATCATACCTTTTTACCCTTCCTATAAGCTTAAATAGTCTTGACCGCGAGGGTGTGAGATTGCTGAGTCCCCGTGACTCACAGATACTTCCAAAACCAGTTTGCAGGTGCCGATGTAACCGAGCAGGTGACGCAACCAAGCTCAAGGAGGAGCTCGATGAAGATCTTGTCCTTTGTGCTGTTTCGTGCTAGTTGATCAGTAGTGGAGCCCAGTTGGGACGATCGGGGATCTGTGTAGCATTTGGGGTAGTCTTCTTTTATTTTGGTTCCGTAGTCGAACCTTGTGTGTATCTGTATGATGTAATGCTTTATTCATGTAATTGTGTGAAGTGGCGATTGTAAGCCAACTATGTATCTCTTTCCCTTATGTATTACATGGGTTGTGTGAAGATTACCTCACTTGCGACATTGCTTTCAATGCGGTTATGCCTCTAAGGCGTGCTTCGGCACGTAGGAGATATAGCCGCATCGAGAGCGTTACATGACCCTGGTTTGAGAAACACTTAGGTCTCGTTTGGATGTAAAGTATTTCCAAAGTATTACTAGAATACCATGGTTTTTTAAAAAACTGTAATTTTGAATACTTTGAGGTGTTTGGCTATACCAAAAAGTGTAGTTTCATAAATTGTGGTATTGTTGATACTGTGGTTTTTTTGGAGTATTTAAAAAAGAGGTCCGGACCTCTTTTTTCTCAAACTGAGGAAAAGACGCTCGTTCACTACCGCGCAGCTTGGTTTTTAATCATAACTAACCTCATGGCAGTATCCTCTTTCGTAGTGTTGATTCATTCCTCTCCATCGCGTGCACCACCCTAGTTAAACAGGATACTGATTCCTATTCTTTGTAGTTAACTACGGCCGATCACGTCCGCAACTTCCTAGCTCAGCGATCAGAATGCCGTACAACGATGCATGCAGCCGGGCGGTCGTTAGCATTGATCTGGTGTGTGTAGCTCCGAAGGTGTAAGTTAGATTAAGTTGTGTAACTATCGGTCAAAACTATAGTGAAACAACACCAGCCAAACATATCAGTAGTTTTCCTAAAACTTAGAAAATTGCAGTTTTTAAAAAATTGTAGTATTCATTTCCCAAGCATTGCAATACCGAAGTTTTGAAATACCATGGTATTTTAAAAACTGAGAAACTAACGCACATTTCATGTAGGAACTAATCATGCAATAGCTACAATGAAATAATATTTTTGAAGCAGAGTTGTCATATGATTTTAATCGTTCATTAGATTGCATGGAGATTATGTTCCTAAATATTTGGGAAAAAATTCTAATGGGAGCTTGCGAACGCCTGCACATGAAAAGAAAATTCTCACTTCTTTAGAAAATGGGGAAATGGTAACTGAAATCTGAAAGAGTAAATTAGGGGGTCAAAATCACCACGTCTCAGTCTCTCGGAATCTCAAAAAAGAAAATCACAATCTCACTGGATAGAAATCACCAAAGGAGGTAGAGATTGTGGGCCCAAT